ACCGGCTGACGCTGGCGCCGAGGCACACGCGCATTCCTCTGTAGCAGGAGCGGTTCCAGCCAAACATTTTGGAGGGGGACATTATACGTGTTTGTTAAATAATTAACATATTTGTTATCATTTCGAAAGTATTTATGTACTGGAGATTTGATTCAATATTATTATTCAATATTATTGTTGAAATAAATACATAATTCAATCATAAATGAATATTTGAATCAATTTTGCCAAATTAAGAAAAGTAAACGAAAACACACGGCATTTTAGGGAGGGGGCATGGCCCCCGTGGCCCACATGGCTCCCCTCTGGATCCGCCACTGCTCTGTAGCAACATCTCTAAAAGTTACGTTCCATGGAATCGGGCTTAGTGGTTGCGGCGTCGGAATGACACACAAAGAAGCATACGCGATGGGAAATAGTAAATGCATTTTGAAAATAAAATCGACATGCTACATCATAATAATTTCAGTTACTGTGTATTGAGAAATATATCTGATTGATTGATGTTTCTGGGTGCGTTAAATGCCAAGGTCATTAGTCCACGGTAGGGCTTGTTTTTATCGTGGTATGTGACTGTGATGTTCGCCCGCTGGATGGCGAGATCCAGTGCCAACCTACGTCGGCTTACGGGGATTTTCTCCCAACCAGGTATCACCCACCAGCGGGGCACCGCCTCACACTCCCGACAGGTCTCCCGACATGTGTTGTAGTATATGTCATGTAAGTGTAAGAGTATGTGTTAGCAACGGATGAGGATAGGATACGGAAGAGAAAGGAAATATCGCGCGCGGTATGTGGCCCGTTTGTCAGGGTACCGCTCTGACATTCGCCCAGTGTGAGGCGGAGGAACCACGGAAAACTTCCTACCAGAGCTGCCGGCCGCTACAATTCTCCGCCAGACAGCGAGTGAATTTGACATATACGTCTAGTTATTGTCGAAAATCCTGACACCGTCGGGAATACAACCATTGCATCTCTCGGTTAGGGGCTCTGCAGGGACATCCATCGATGCCCTGAGTCACCATTACCGGCATTATTTTGAAATAAAACTTTTAACATTGTTACAATTTAAAATAGTATTGTGGAGTCATAAAAACAGAGTTATTTATTCCAATACTTTGCATGTAGTATCTTGTAATATACATTCATTTATTATCCTAATTTTTGTTGTAAACGTAATAATAATAATAATAATAATAATAATAATAATAATAATAATAATAATAATAATAATAATAATAATAATACACATCGTATTTGTGATAAAAAACAGTTCACGTAATTACGAAGAAAAACCCGAAAACAAAAATGTGTACTTCCAGATTTTTAATAATCTCCTTAAAAATGTGGAAATTTGTAATCATGAACCCTACAATTTAATTTAACATGCACATACTTTGGTTACTCACAGTTAGCACATGTTTTAGCAAATGAGTCACGAGACGCAAGCATGCGCACGTACGTGCACGAAACGATTGAAGCACAAAGTTGTGATGCTGGCTGCCCTGTGCCAGTCATCACCCGATACATTTACAGCCCGCGCGAAAATCACATTTCTTTTTCTACGGAACATCACAAGTTTACAGTCTGTTCTGCACTTGTACCAGACACAAAATTCACCCAAACAACTACTCCCTGTCTTTGTGACTATACGCAAGGAGTGCTTTGTAGTCTCCTCGAAATGCGAACAAAGAGAGTTTTATGGAGACGACGGACATGAAGCAGCTCGCCTCACTCAAACGCAAACGTTCCTTCTTGAACATACCTCACACAAACTAAGCCTCTGAATTCACCTGAGTCGCGCTTCGAAGAGCGACGGCTCTCCCAATTATCACTAATGGGATGCAATACTCATTTAATGCTTAAATTATAACCACACACACGCACACATACACTAATATCCACGAGTTAAAAAAGAGTAAGTCGACACTTTTTATAATTGTATATTTTTTAGAATAACATGATATATTAATAATAATGATAGTAATAACAATAATAATAATAATAATAATAATAATAATGGTACTATTCGAGCGTTTATTTTCATAATCTAATACCTCCAGGTCAGAGGCATTGCAGTAACAACAGTTGCCAAATTATCACTGACATCAGTCACTTCCGCTGGTCTCTTCCAGTAAAAAAAGGCGGATGTTTGTAGGTTGTTCTCGGGTAAATAATAAATGATAGAAGAATAATAAAATGCCTCGTTCGTATCCTTCAGAAGCTAATCAACGAGGGTATACCTCGAAATGCACTTCAATAGTCAACAGACGGATGCAACTTGGAGTACATTGAGTTATCATTTCCAAGAATGGTATCATTCCACCCTTCACAAACAACATAATGACCGTGGGAGGCTTAATCTCAAAAGTCCCGCTTCTGAAGCAACAAGATAACTTAAATCCCCCTCAAGGACTCCCTTGAGAACTGTTCACCCAAACTAACTACGAACTGGAGTACATTTTCTTGACGTTTCAAAATAACGCTCCGATAACGGGTTTCCGTCGATTTCCGGCGTGTATTGCGGGACTTAAGTCCAAAGCAAACTAATAGAAATACGCGGCGAACAAAAACTTTTCCTTCTTACTGTTAATACACAGATTTTTAAAAAAGCCTGGCATCTTTTAAAGATTTACAATTGAATGAATTTATGCAGAAAACATCCAAGTCACATGAATCAATGTTTGCAAAATGTCTTGAACAGCTGGGACGTATCTAAAAATTGTCAGCAGCGAGGACGCTCGTCGCAAATTAGATGAGTGTGGGATGTGGTCGTAGAAAAGTAATAAAAGTTCTACATATTCAATATAGAAGGAAAATAGAAATCTGCAAAATCATTTCACAAACAAATCTATAGGAACTATGAGGTTTGGAAGACTTATTGGATAGAGTAAATGAAACTTTGCTCAACGCAAAGACTTTTAACTTTGTGTTAAAGCTGCGATGGTAAACAATGTCATTTACTACAGTATCTTCCCTAAAGTCAAAGTTCACAAATACAACAATTTTAATTACACTTCCTAGCACGTTGCTTGGCTTGGAACAAGGTGGAACAAAAACTCCCACTGCGATTTCTTTACGTCTGTTGGGTAGTCACGCCACAAGCACGTAGACTTTTGTACTGATATTTCCTTCTGCTATTTTTCTTTAACAACCTGAATTTATGCATCTAAATACACCTTACAAATACACCTTACAGTTACCTTACACAGTCTCGGAAAAAATATTTTCAATAACTCTCAAAAAAACAGTAATTTCCATATAATACGTTGTAATAAAAAACAAATTCTTATCGATATATGATCCCAATAACAGTATACCTTCGTACCTTTGGAATATAGTTCACTATTCTACCAAATACAATTTTATGCTCTACGATATCTCTTTAACACATTACATGCCGAAACTTACGAAGATCGCCTATGCCACCTGATAATTTGACACTTCTTTTGTCTCTCTTACGCAGTCTTCTAAACGACGCGTAGAGATAAAGGACAAAAACTAATAAATCTTCAAATTCAAACTGAACATATTTAGAAACCTTAAAATGAAAAATTGAATTAAAGTTTTCAAACACGTAGAAAAAATGTCTATACATTACCTTCAACACCTAATGTTGAACGATTAATATGGATGGTTTCATTTTGGATATAAGCCAAATACGTGGAAAATGTTCTATACATTTCCTTCAACACCTAATGTTGAAAAATTAATATCGATGATTTCATTTTAGATATAAGTCAAATACGAAGAAAAATGTTCTATACATTTCCTTCAACACCTCATGTTGAACGATTAATATGGATGGTTTCATTTTGGATATAAGTCAAATACGTGGAAAATTTTCTATACATTTCCTTCAACACCTAATGTTGAACGATTAATATAGATGATTTCATTTTGGATATCGATGATTTGAAGCATCGCTGTTTTGAGGGCGATGTCGCATTCGTAGAGCGAATCGCATATTCACCATCCAAGAATGAGGAGGGAGGGGGGTACTCACTTGTTCTCTGCGACGCGCTCCGCGTTGTAGCGCGCGTGGAAGTCCAGCAACTCGGCCACCAGGCCGCGCTCCATCATGTCGTCCACGCGGGCGTCCAGACGCGCGTCCAGCGTCGCCTGCCACACACAGACACACACTCTATTATTATTTGTTGCGCATCAGCAATACAGCTCTGAAGAAGGCCACAGCAAAATGGCCGAAACGTTTGTACAATTGACGGAGTCGCGGCTCATCCCGGATAGCCAAGAATGGCCAAGACTCCGGCCGGGGAAGCCTACGAACGTATATTACTATTTGTTAACCTTTTTACTGCATTAATACATTTCTCCTTTTGATATATTGGATTTAAGTTTTAATTTTAATTACAATATGTAGTAAATAACTTCCTACAAAACGTTGTGTTACGCGGCCCCAGGTTCGATTGCCGGTAGAGTCAATATTATAGTGTGCGTTTTCCTTGCAATGCCCCAGTGTATGTTGCTGTATGACGACGAGAAAATTCACTTCTCAGGTCGGAATTCGGCGTGTGGATGTCTACGTGGTAAGCACACGTACCCCCTTAACCCATGGCCACGTCGTCAGTAAGCCTGTCGCGTCAAGTATATACATACATACATACAAACACACATACATATATACATACATACAAACATACATACATACATACATTCATACAACACACTGCATAGTCACATTTCACAAATTGTGAATGCTTGATACGGAAAAGTGTTTGTTGTTGTTGTTTTTTTGTTTTGTTTTGTTGTTTTTCATTTCTTTAAAACGTACGTCCATCTGTCTAGTAACATCACTATAGCCTAACTATACGTAGGATTTTATTCAAAATAAATATTCGCCCGTCGATCTCCTCCCACTCAGAGCTCTGCAAATTTGAAAATCATTCTTTAATTTTTGAAGGTACTTTACATATACAAGCGTTGATTGTTTTTTAATTAAGAAGAGAAGGTATTCTACGCGTCTTATCTATTATTATTTATTTGCTAGAAATACAGTAAATATTTGTAAGACGGGGCAGAAAATCTACATTTATTGCCTAAAAGCAAATAAAGAGACGTTTCAACATTTTCTCTGAGGATGAAAGGAAACGTGACATAAAAAACTCCGGTCTTTGACCCAAAATTACAAACATTATAATGATAATATCATCTAAAACCTGTAATTTCAAATATTTACTATTAAAAGTAACACTTTTTTAAAACAATTATTTTTCTCCTTTCTTAGAGGTATATCGATCCCATCACCCTACATACACCTACCAAGAGTGGAATGTAACTCACAGCCACATTCCACCCTTCAGGCTTTTCCTATCTAAAAAGCGTCACCCGTGGAGGTTTCCCTCGGGTGGAGAGATGGAAGGCACCTTCCTCGCACATTGTTTCTTCTTCTAAGCGTAATGAAATGTTTGCTTTGATGTTGAGAGATAGCTTATTATTTTTCGTTGACAGCGAGGAAATGTATTTAGGAATTTTTCTTTGATCGAGTTTCAAACAACGCTTTTAAGCGACGCGAAATCGATTCGAAACCGCTCTGAGAACGAATTAACAGCCTTTCCTCCTCCCGTGTGTTCATCGGCGACATCTCATGCTTCTCCAGCCAGAAGAGAACTCGTTTACTAATGGAGCTATTCAGCTCAAGGTAGGAAATCTTCCTCCTTTGCACCGTCATCAGCAGGCGTCTATATCAACTTTATCAACGCTTCGCAGGATATGGGCGATGTCACATGATTACAAGGGCCAGGCTGCGTCAGGTGTGAGCAAGGCAAATGACGTACGATGTTGTACCCTCCCAGTTCTATCACTTGGATGCGAAGTTTAAGTTCGAAAACAAGATTTTAAAAGAATAATAAGCGGAAATTCGATGTCTGAAGGATCTAGAGGGTTGTATGTTAAGATAAAAAAAATAAGACGGACAAGATAAAAGAAGCGAAATAGAGTGAACTGATATGTGAACATAAAAAGTGAAAACAGCGACGGGTAGAATACGATGAAAAAAAGTTGCTAGACAGACGTCCAGAACCATTTCTGGAAAATAAACCAAATGTAAACAAATGGGAAGGAAGAAGTGTTTTTTTCCCAGACAGGTACAACCTGGTGTCCGTGTTCAACGTGCAGTACCACCAGTTGTAAAGCACTGACCTACTGTAACGGAAGATATTTTTAAAATGCATACTTCAACTTAATTGCACCACGCACGGCTAATTAATACATATAGAATTATAGGAACCTAAAGTGAACACAATTCAACACTAATATACCCAGTAACGCTCTCAGTAACAATTGAGAGGAGTAATAATGTCCAATTCACATATCGATTTTTCCAGTCATGACTGTTCCACATTCATTACACGAATCCAATCACAGCACACTACCGCAACTCCGAAACAGACATTCTCAAAGTAAAAATTAAAAATAATCGCTAATGATCATCAGTACAATAAGTTTTAACGAGAGTGGCGCAGAAAACAAAATTGCAGATATCATCACGTGAATGTAGATTTAACGAGCTCATACGTTGCTGACATACTGAACTAGATAGCGAGTATATCACACACGCAACGTCAACAACGAGCTAAATATATTATGGCGCATTTACTTTCCCCCCGGGTTCGTTTCTCTTGCCTGACGCAGGCGACGGCTCGAGAATAAACTGTAGTGGTTATACACTTAGAAACAACGTATTTATTTTCTCTCAGTTTCGGCGCGCAATGGAAGTTAGTAATACTTTTTTTGCGTTCCTGGGTATTTAACAAAAACATTTCGAACAAGGCTGCATAGTTTTCTTTCAATTTCTGAGGGCAATGGAAATTAGTGATATACTGGTTACATTAATTCACACTGTTTTTACACAATGTTCATTTTCAAAACTGTCCGAATTTAAGAGTGTTTTGCGCTTAGCGTACAACAAAAGAATAAAATAAATTAGAAATAACTATTTATAATATGATCTTATTTTTGATATTATAAATAGCATTAATGATATTATACATCATATCATGAAGTTGCAGAACGACTGTAAATAGATTCACAAATATTTCTAGATGAATGGAAAACTCATTTTGGACAGATCTTGGGTGCAATGTAGTATACTACTGTGCGAGACAACTACTTAAGCGACAATATAGCACATGTTTTCTCTTAATTTAAAATGAATAGGTGAGATTATAATAATGAATAGGAAAAGATTATATACGGCCTATTTTTCAGTCATTTTTTGCAAACACTTCACATCAAATTGCACAATATGAACAGTTTCTAACATAATCAATTGCCTACTTCATATAGAAATGTACATTATTCCAGCACGTACGAAAAAATCTTCGCTCAAGCTTTAAATCTGAATAAAACTAAACTACATTTTGGCACCATGGAACCAAAGATTCAAACTTCCCAGCTACACATAGTTATTTCAACCACAAATAAAAATCAATTGGAAAGAAATTATGCATAGTTTGGGCACTAAGTGTTCATAGACCAATAAACAGAAGAACGTTTTTGAAATAAGGACTATTTCGATGTCGGAAACCCCTAAATGTGGATTTACATTCAAATCTCGAATCGAGCATTTTGCAGCATTACATAATTATCTATACTCTCTAATGAGACAGTAAAAAATGTTGAGACCTTGAGAACAACACCCTTGTAGCTTATGGAAGGAGGAAAAATCTCCGCGACGCACATCCGCCTTGCATATATTTACCTTGATTATAGAGAAAGGAATAACGAGACTTCTCTCATGGATAATTCAATAGTGGTGCAACAGAATGGCACAGACTTTCCCGTATCAGTTTTCTATTTCCTTTGGTCTTGGTTCCCTGTTTGGATTCGAACTTGCCACATATTCTTGCCAGCTGCCAACTCTCACCGTCCAAAGTATTTTTTTTTTAATTCCTAATTTATCAGTTTCCTAATTGTACAGCGGATATATTATTTTAATATTATTAAAAACAGTAAAACCTCGTCCTAAACGGCAATTTGCTTTGAAAAACGTTTTCAAAAAACTGACATTTAAGCGCTACTGTAAATTCGAAATTTGAAGCTCGTTTTCACAGAAAATTTCTGAGTATTCGAAAAACTTAATTTGAAGACACTTTAATTACCTTAACTAACAAATACAATAGCTTTTACAAATTTCTAGAAATGTGCATATCAACGGCGTCATATCAATTATGCATGAAAGATCTTTGAAAAAAGTTAGTTAGAAGTTTGAAGAAAAAATTTGGAGCCGTTTTTGAGAAGATTTTGAAAATTTTCAGAAGGCATCATGTAAAGTACACCCAAATTTTGAAGAATGTTTTTCAAAATCTCAAAGTTTCGACTTGAACCAGATGGACAGATGATTCTTCAATTCGGAAAAAATCCTACCCATGGTTTAGGCGCCTGTTGTGTTCACAGACACCAGACAGACGGATAGACGGATGGACGGAGGGCAGACGGACGGACAGATGGACGTTTTGAATCGGGGGACCGCAAAACGTGTATTTCCGTTGAAATCGCGAAATCGATTTTCCGCAGCATTACATAACTTACCCTATACTACTACTACTACCTTATCACTCAATATATACGTACGTATACGGGAAAGTAACAATGGACATTCGTATAGCCATGTATTCGCATAACTTACTTATGAGTTAAAATGAAGGTTTGTTGCTTTTCTTCAACATCTTAATCACAATATACCAAGAAGCATATTCACGTTTCGAATTTGGAATCAAAGTTTTACATCCAGTAAATCCACGCAAAATGTATGACAAAGACATGAGTTCGCCTGATTTCCTTGTGATGATGAACCCACGTTTCCTGTCCTTTTCCTTTCACAATTACTGCATTGTTTGATCCCTCGTCATTATCATCATTAATATTCAACCTAACATTCAACTTAGTGGCGTATGTGCGTCGAATGCTGAACAGACAATGACACAACTAACAACGGGCACTATTTAGCATTCATCATCATTTACATGTTTATTATCACTTCAGCATTGAGAATTCTACTTATAACCATTTGTGGGAAGAAATAAAAATAATTAATTTTTAGTCACAAACATAAAATATTTAGAAGGAAAAAGTTGGGATAAATACAATTTATAACACAATAT